GAGCTAATACATATAAGGCAATATAGTGTTGGCGCTAGCACAAAGGCTAACAGGCTAAGCTGAGGTTCTTCTTCAGGGTGAATATAGCTCGCTCGCACCGAGGACCTATCCACGTCATCATTTACCCAGAATGCTTTGTGTGCAAATAAAATGGCTCCATCCATGTTAAAATATATTTTTAAAAATTTACAAAACTAAACATCCTACAGTATTTTTACAGTCTTTATTTTACAGTTAAAATTAATGTTTATTAAATAAAGTCTAATGTTACAACTAATCATGGATCCCTTTGAAAAAAAAGTATGTATATATATTGGCAAAACTATTTCATAAAATAAAGCTGAATGTTTTCTTTTGTTTAGATGCACATTTAGAAAGAAAATGCATAATCTGACATGATTAAAATGAAAAAATAAAAATAAAACAACAGCAGCTGAATGCTATTTTTGCCATGCAGTATGAATTTATTACAAAACTGTTTTAATCAGTATTTTAAATCAAATTTAACTGCATAATGGCATTGTGAACACATCTTTGCTTTATTTACTTTATGTCACATGAAATGACTCAGCACATTGTGTCTCACTCACACAAAGAAAATCACATTCGTTTTAGCACCTTTCCTCTGCAAGAATCACAAATCATAAATAACAGTTAAATAAATATGTTTCATCAAAAGCATAAATAATAACAGCATGTTCCTCGAACACAAAAGGAAACATAAATTATAGCAACAACATTTAACCATAAAAGATCAAACCATGACGAGGATATTTTTCATTTTACACCAGTTCCTTTGGATTTGACAAAGACTGAGTGGTTCTGTGAAGTGGTCACAATCTGATGGGATCAGTTATTGAAACAGAAATCTTCCACATTGTTGAGTTTGATGGTCTGTAGCTCCTGGTTGTTCAGCAGCCTGTAGCTGAACGACACCCGGCTGACAAAGTTCCCGCTGGACACCATCCTCACCACTGTGTTTTCACAGCCAATCTTCATGTGAGCTGCAGAACAAATCAACACTGAACCTCAGTCAGACAACAGGAGACAACAGAAGAAGACGAGTTCTTACTGGGACCAGTGAAGGAGATGCAGAGGTCCGTGATGGGAAGCAGCTTAGATGTATCAATACCGTTTCCTCCCAACAGTTGCACATAATCCCCAGTCTCTGCACATCCAACTAAGGATCTCTGTGGAAAAAATATCATCCATGAGCAGGTTTTAGATGATTTCAGAACAAGACCTGATTGAATTAATGAGCCTGAGAGGATCTTTTCCAAAGACGCTGGCATCTTTAAATGTAAAGAAAACACAATGAAATCATTTGCAAATCTGATAAACCCTTGGTTTAGACCAGAGAGGCTTCACCTGTGGGCCGAGCGCCACCTTGAGGGCCTCAAAAGATCAACAGTTTTTAACTTTGGGCCACAGAGGGCCGTGGGACCACATTGATTTTAAATAAGGTGTAATACACTTTCTCACCACTAGTAGCAGTAGTGCACCACTCAGATGTTTAACAACTTTTTAATATGTAGAAGAAGAACCTTAGAAACCTACTGAGAATGGAAACTTATTTTAAATGAAAAGTAGAAGGTAATAATGAAAGTAACTCATCAAAAAAGGCCGAAGTTTGTCACTAATATGAAGAGCAGCTTCTGGTTTTACCATGTAATATTTTAAAAGTTCAAAACATCAAATTGCAGATACAGCTATAT